AATTATAATATTATATACTGAAATTATAATTATTAGTTTACATTTTATAATTATTTTATTAGATAAATAATAACAAATTAAAAATATTTTATAATATTATCTAATTTAAAATGTATTATTGACAACTGTAAGAAAAATAGTACATTACATGATTTATAATGTAAAAATTAATAAATAAAATAAAAGATTTGGTTATCAATGTAAAAATTATATGGCCCAAGAGGGGATTCGAACTTGAGATGTCAAAACAAATAACATTAGTGATAACCATCATGCCTCCTTAACATATGTGTTTAACATTGCCTATTAATAGTATATATTTACATTATGTTTTCATTTAATGATGTTTGGGAATTATCCCACATCGAAGGATGAGTATTCAAATATGCTATATAAATAACTATAAAATTGAAAGATTAATGCAAGTATGAAAACACTAGGGCATCAGTGCACATGCACACATGCATGTGCATGTCGCACGCGTGGCACATGTGAGAGTGGTGTGCATTGCATGTGTGACGTGTACGTGTATGTGCGTGTCGTACGTGTGTCACATGTGGGAGTGGTGTGCATCGCACGTGTGACGTGTGCGTGGATGTGGGTATCCCACGTGTGGCATATGTGGGAGCGTTGTGCGTGTCGCACGCGTGGCACATGTGGGAGTGGTGTGCGTTGCATGTGTGACGAGTACGTGTATAAGTGTGTCGCACGTGTGTCACATGTGGGAGTGGTGTGTATCGCACGTGTGACACGTGTGACACGTGTGGGAGTGTTGTGTGTCGCACGTGTGGCACATGTGGGATTGGTGTGAGTCGCATGTGTGACACATACACACATGTGTGAGTGGTGTGTGTGGCACGCGTGACGCGTATACACTTGTGAATGCTAGAACCGGGAGAGAACTCGGCGGTTCCCGGTTTTGTGCTGGAACAGGCACGGCCAGTGCCGATTCCCGAGTCGAACCGGGCTCGCCCAGTTCGACTAGGCGCTTTTTAAATCATTGTTTTAAACAAATTAAAAAAATACGGTTGACTGACCTTCTTTGTAATTTTCACTTATAAATGGAGCATTTCGTATTTCAGGAAAAAATTTAGGGTCCGTTTGTAAATCGCTTCATACCAACCCCAAAATTTTTGGTAAAATACGAAATGCTGCACTAAAACACGGAAATTACAAAAGAAAGTCGGTCAATTAACTTTTTTTTTTTTTTTGAAAATCACCTCTTGATCAACCTGAATTTTGATTTTTTTTATTTATTTAGTTTTTTCGTTAGTAGGGCAACACCCCAAGCTTTAAAGCACTGCCTTACTAACGAAAAAAAAAAAAAAATTTTGGTTTGACCGAAGGATAATTTTAGAATAAATAAAAAAAGTGGGTTGACCGGTCTTTTTTGTAATTTCCGTATATAAGTAAAGCATTTTGTATTGTACCTAAAATTTTGGAATCCATACGTAAATCACTCTGAAACTATATATTGAATGGGAAAGTATATGATGAGACCATTTATCTTTGATACAAAGTGATCACAATAAATCTTGACCATGGGATGTGAAATTGGGTTGCAGCATTTATTTCGTTGACCAAACTCAAAATTTAAAAGAATTTTTTTGAAACTTTGTGAGACACTTATGCTATCAGATTTCACATCAGATGGTTGTAAATAATTGTGATCTCTCTAATCCAAAGATAAATTGTCTCATTGTATACGATCCTATATTTTATATTCTCTCTCATGTACACATAAATCGTGCACACATGAGCAGGAACTAATCTCTCTTTCTCTCCCTAGGAATGGATAGATGGAGAAGGAAGCAAATCCATAGCCACATCTACCGGATCCCAGACGCATATCGCAACCAGGTAATGTGTAACTCACTCATTCAATATTCTACGCCCTCACACACTTACACCATGTGTCTGTGGCAGAGAGAGAGAGAGAGAGTATGTGTGTCTGGGGATCAAAATGCCCAAAAAAAAATAGTTACACCAAACAAAATTAACTTTGGTGGGGTTTTTGTAACATGTTTTCAAGTATTTTGTAAGGAATATGCATATCTTTCTTGTCAATGGAAAGATGCATATGTCAAAAAATCATTCAAATGCCATCCAAACTATTCAAAATTCATATCAAATCTCAACTTTAAGATGATCCTCGAGATTTGTGACACTATGTAATGTACCTATCAATAACAACTGGCATTTGCTCTCTCTCTCTCATCTCTACTACCAATCAATTATAATTTATATTTCTTTTCTCTCTATATAAATAATAATTTACATTTGGTCTCTCTCTATAAATAATAATTTATTTATCAATAGTACCTATCAATAATAATTGACATTTACACACACTCTCTCTCCAGCTCATATGAATAATAGTTTGCATTAGGTATCTCTCTCATCTAAAATACCAAACACTAATAATTGACATTTACACACACATTCTCTCTCCAGCTCATGTGGCACACGTGCGAATCCAATGAACCTTCTCCCCAAGTGGTAGGCTTGGAAATTCAGCAAGGCATCCAAAACAAGCAAGCATGCAATTTAACACACATGCATTCTTGAGTAGAGAGAGAGAGAGAGAGAGAGAGGTAGG